GTTTGTCTTTAAAGAACAGAGCTGCTCTGATTCTCTTTGTGTCTGATCTGTTAAACAGTCTGAGAGGTCACAAAGAGTTCCAGCAGCTAAAGCCTGGATCATACTGGCTGCTGTTAATGAGACTCCATCAGGACAACACTGAACCACAGTGGTGTGGATGTAGTGGATAAATCCCACCATACTGATGCTCAGATTTAATCACAGGGAAGAAAACCAGATGTTACCTTCAGATTGTGACCTTTGGAGTGGACAATGCAGATTTCAATAGAGAATAAATGTTGTTGTTTTTCAGCTGTGAAAAAAGAATCTAATTTTCTGAACTTAAGAATTTATGATGCTGGAAAAAACATGGAGACAATAACACAACATTCCCACTGTATTCATATAATGAACTTTCAGACGTTCTTTAAATATGCATAATGTCTACAAAAACATCAGAGGGTCAGATGTGAAGTGATTTTGATCAAATGACTCATCAGTTATTGATTTGTACAACTCTGATGTACCACATTAGTACAGCTGGTGTTCTGGTGGTGGAGGGAGACCTTGGATCATTTTTTGGTTTTGGAGCAGTGATCTGCTGATAGTTCAGTTTAATGGGCTTCTTCACAATCATCCCTGACATCACCACTGAAAGGAGCTCCATGAAAACAGAATGAAAATTACTGATATGTTCACAATCTGAGAGTTTAAAACTTGACAAACTTGATTCAGATGAAGTTATTTGAGCAGAAACTTTTTGATCTTTATCCTGTGCTTGATGTAATTCTTCATGGTTCCTCCACAGAGTGGACCAGCAGAGCTCAGTGGTTCCCGGTGGTCAGTCTGCCCAGCAGCATCAAAAACAACTGGACTCCATATTTATGGTCTGTCCATGTACAACAACTACTTTTACATCTATTCTGTTCACAGTCATCTCCATGCTGCTCTTTGTAGACCAGTGGATTGTCAGTGTGTCCAACATGGATCTGATGTTTGGCTCCATGATTTTAGTCTGATGGCTCATTCATAAAGTATTCTGTTCCAGCTGCTGGAGGACAACATCATCATTTTTGTGAAGAATGAGTTGAAGAAGATCCAGAAGGTTCTGAGTCCAGATTACCCAGAACGCTTAGAGAGTCAGAGGGAGGAGGATGAGCAGAAGAGTAGCAGAGAGGCATTTCTGAAGATCACACTAAACTTCCTGACGAGAATGAAGCAGGAGGAGCTGGCTGACTGTCTGCAGAGCAGTAAGAGGATTTCTATTAAGATTTAAGCTGTTGGGTGAATTAAATGTTTGTTATTGTCTTAAGATATGGACTAAAATGTAGCCAAATATTAATGCTTTCAGAAGATGATGCGTATTGTTCTGTATTTTGTTTCCAGAGAATTTTCCTACAGTATGTCAACGTAAGGTAAAATCTACTCTAAAGAAGAAGTTCCAGTGTGTGTTTGAGGGCATCGCTAAAGCAGGAAA